GGATAATTGTTTCGAATAACCAGTTCCTCGACAGCTCATTGCCCCCCTTCCCCCTGGATGGGCGTGGCCGAGCAAAAGTTTAAATGGTTCGATCTCGGCGCATGAGTCACGAACTGAGGTGTCCTTGTTGTTGCCGAAGCGCATGCGGTGGCCAAGGCCCCCTCCCTCTCAACCGCAGCCATTTTTACACACAACCTTCAGTTTATCGATCGAATCATCCCACGGTTACCTGTTTTAATTATTTTGTTTGATTTGAGACGTCGTCTTACTTGTGGTGAAAATCTTTGGTCGAATTTACTGGCGAATTCTGCCTTTATTACTTTTATAACCTTGCATGGTCCCTCAAAATTTACTGCTTCATTGTTTTGTTCTGAATCTTTTCTTTTGTAACATAATCTATTCATCTTCTGACTGCTTTTTTTTCAATTCAAAATTATTATTAAATTTTGCCTTGACAGATTATAATTTCCCTTTTTTGGTTTGTTTTGTTCCCTCCAAACTTCAACTAATTTATCGAGCTCTAAAATCCCATTTTTTCTAACATTGTTCCCTATCTTTTTTTGGATTTTGCATGATGACAAAAAAGTGTTTGTTCGTATAAAAGCTCAAAAATCAAAATGGCTAGAAAAATTTTGGAACGGGAACGAAACCAGCTCTGCTTCTTCTTTTCTATATGCTTAGTGAATTTTCGGCTGAAATTGTATCTCTTTCCGCGGATATTAACCTTTTGTTCCCACGTTTTTTCTTGGTGGGCTCAGGTTTCTTTCTAAACCGTTGAGATTGCCATGAATGCAGCGGCGCATTCATTTTCCATTGCTAGCAAAATTTTGTAGTCTCTTAATTCTTTAGTTGTTGAAGCTCCGTTGTACATTGCTTAATATTTATGTGCTTTCCATCAAAAACCCCGAAATTTATCAATTCACAGTTTAAAGAAAGTGAATGAGAGAACTAACCTATCATAAACTGCAGATAGTGTAAAACCTAGAATTCTTCCTGAGAAGCAGCTACCTATTTGTTTGTTTTATCATAATAGTGTTATTTATGACGTAAGAGAGGGAGAGTCTCAGTTCTTTCTCTCACATATCGCAATTAATCCACCATGCAAATAGAATTGAGTACTTTGCGTTGATGAGAGAAGTTCGCCTTTCACGAGGAAGTGAAACCTTTCCTCAAGTCATCAAAATTAAAAATACGTGCGTAATTTTTTAAACTAGTTGGCGGACATAATTTTGACATCATCGGCTTTCTTTTCACTTCCCCCCCCCACTGTTTATTTTCACAAATCTTTACAGTTACAGTGGATTTGGTCGTATTTGGTTCATTGATCGAGAAAATGCAAATGCAATTCAGATGAGCCGGAAATATCACAAGTAGAGTGCTTAGATATAAAAACATGGCGATTTCTAAAACAAAAATTAATTTTCTGTTAACTTTGGAGCAATATTTATTATAGAACAAATAATTACCAAAATTTTTGCCCTATGAAAATTTCGAAATAGCGATAGTAATCATTCACAAATTTCGTAATCTGACCGTCAAAAATTATTGATTTGATTTTTTTACTTCGTGAGATTATTCATCATGCACCTAGAGAAGCTTGACGCCTCCGTTGACAAGTTCCGCAACCTAATCCATCACTTTTTCTGAGTAAATCGATTCATTGTCGTACTTTCTCCTACTCACCATTTCGCTGACATCTGTTCTTTGAAGACAGTTTACCTTTCGTCAAATTTTGTTATGAGCGTAGTGCTACTAATCTTCACGAATCTATCTTGCATCCGTGTGAACAGTTTGAGATTCAAAAAAAAACGCATCACATTTTTCTGAGCCGATTTATCTGCTTGTCAACGATTGATCCTTTATCTAGTACTTCACGGTTGAGTAGCAGATGCGATCAACCTAGTGTTGCTGAAGAGAACTGGTTTATCGCATTCAATCATGCTGAAAACTTGCGAAATGTGCAAAAATTCTAGTTTTCTCAAACTTTGTGAAAAGTCGTTTGTTCTGAAATTCCAGACATATTTTTAGTGAATATAGCCATGTTATGGCCCAGCCTCTCTCCATCCTTTGCATACTTAACTTGGATCTTTGGAGCTTTAACTTTTCTACACTAATAAATCACTAAGAGCAGAGAATACCCTCGATGCCTATGTACAAATCATGCTTTTCACTTGGAACATCGATTTGAAGAACAACTGTTATCTTGAACTATGCGAATATCTGAATAAAATCAGAAAAAAAAACCCAGCCTGTTAGTAATTCAGCAGATTTGTTTTCTTTGCTTTTAGGACTTCAGATGGGAATTCTTAGGGACAGCTGAATTTCTCAAATTGCAGAGGGAGTCGATTGCTATTTTCTCTTCATCTTTTCCTAGTCATTGCTTACAAAATGAACTCTGGAAAACACTTTATGGAAAAGAAAATTAACTAAAAAGTTGTTGCTATGCGACGAACGAAAAACCTTACAACTTGGTCGAGTGAAAATGCATTCCGTTCACATATCCATTGGCTTCTAGCTTTTTGCTTTGGTTGTCTTGTCTTCTTAGCCTATTTTGATAAATTATAATAAATTGATACAGTAATTTTCGCTTGAAGGTTACATTTAGCTTTGCCGTTGAAGCTAAAGTCATACAAATTTCGATAGTTTGTTTCGTGCAACTGCACTACTATTGTAAACTTTAATTCAACTGGCTTGGCGGCTGTAATGCGGGGCTTTGTGACCTAATTAGGGCCGCACGCGCCGCGAAATAGTCTGCGTCTCTCCCGCGCGCGTGCTTTCTGATCATTACCTAGCTTTAATTAGGTCAAGAAGCCCCGCCTTCCAGCCGCCAAGCCACTTGAATCAAAGCGTATTGCCCCAGCAGAACAATTTGACCAGTTCATGAAGATTTTTTGAGCAATTTTTGTTATTTCCCCCGTTTAAAAAAAAACCTTGTGTTGTTTCCCACTTTGCTCCATTCTTTACTACAAAAGTAGGGTAATCACGTGAATTGTTCAACTAAGATGGGATTGTAAAAAACGCGCTTAGCATTGTAATCCATAATTTTTTTACATCTAGCAGGTAGTGGTAAGCTTATCATGGCAACAAGCATTCGAAAGCTGATGGAAGCATTGTAAGATCGATAAAATCAATAAGCCGTCAAATTCCATGTATGGTAGTAGTGACGATAAAGTCCAAAACGACAGCCTAGTTTGGACGAATCATTATAACCCAAATCAAACAGATGTCTTTTTTTTAACATGTGGACCAGTTCGCAATGAAAAAATCAATATTTGACGTAGTTTTGCGACGATCGCGGATTACAAAACATGCACAGGTGGTCACACTGGTAAAGTGTGTGTTACCAGGCGAAACATCAATGGTTCGGCCCCCGTCAAGTCGTTCAAGTTATCACAAAATTTTCGTCCTTCACCCGGCACGTACCTCAAACTTGGGTAACTGAACCGAAAACTTAGAAATTTATTATCAATTATCAATCGAATGAGATTGAATTTCGTTGCTGAACAAGATTTCCAAAAGACCAGAGTGTATTGGATGGTTGAGCGGCTAAGTGGTTTGGCAGCAAAGCGAGATGTGGAGGGAACGAGTCTTTCCGGGTAAGAGTCACGTATACGTCAATTTTGTCCACAAATTACACGTAAAATTATGAATTTCCAGAGGTAATTTCCCTGTTCTTTATAAGAAAACCTAAAGAGGGTGAGATACGGAGCAAGGAAATAGGGAGTTAGGTGTGAAAGTGAACGAACTGATTGTGAGGTGAGTTAGAGACAGTAAGGGCGAAACAGGCGGGCCCAGGGGCTGAGCCAGATCAGCACAAGGGAAAAGCAGGTGCCAGAAGGGGAGAAGGACAAGCCGGATAGGAACAAGAGGAGAGAAGGAGCAAGAAGAACCCAAGACCCTGGATGCACAGCACCGCAATAATAGCAATACCCCCCCCCCCCTCCCCACAGCAAAATGCCAAAATCCCTCTCCACCCCGCAGAGCCAAATCATTCCGCCCCTTCATCTCCGTACATCGTGATAACTTGAAATTCCCGGTAATTTTCAATAACAAACATTTACCCGAGATAGAACTCGAACCATCGTTGAACTTATGAAAGCCCATAACCTTACCGACTTGACCATCCTGCAACTTGCCATGCATGGTCTTTAGGTACTCCATGTGCTCTAGATAGGTGTTTTAGTATCAAAATTGATCAGACGACAAGACTCGAACCACAGCCAGTTTCCCGTGAGACTAGCAATCTACCTAGTAGACTATTCTTCCATCGTTTAACAATCCTGTTTCCATTTTTATCCGGATTTTGGTGATTTTACGGGTTACTTTTATGCTGTCATTTAATTCTTTGCTTTTTTCATAAAAACCTTTTTTTCCTTCATGTGCAACAATATCCGATTCTCATTCACAAACATTCTCATACACACAAATGGACACCATAATTGAAAAATAACATTTTTCTACTTGTAGATGTATATACTCAGTAACTCGTTTTTTTGTGTTATTTTTACAACAAGAAGCTGCCTGTGGTGAGGCTTCTCATATTTATTGATTGGATAATGGATACAACAAGCACGATTATGGTGGAAAACAGTAGCCCATACTATAAATGCTTGATAAACCTAACGAGATAACATTTAAGAAAATGAGATTATACAGTCAAGATCGGAAACAGCAAGGAGACCAAGTTATCATGAAAATATTTAGTAGTGTTGATGAGATTAAAACCAAATGTGATCAAAGTGATGCGTGCAATAGAAAAAAAGGAATTAGAGAAGAGAAACTACTAAACAAATGTATCTAATCTGCTACTTCGGAATGATTCTAAAAGGCCGTAGGTAATCTTGCCTTCCAGTGCTAACTTTCCTAGTCCTCTTCCATAATCTGCCCTGAAAAACATCATTCACCCATTCATTACATCCATATTGCCATGTTCTTGCAATAATTCATTGTTTGTTCCAGCTCTTTTCCGCACATCCCATGAAAACGTTTGAAGCTTGTGTAGCGAACGAAAATTTTCAGATGCGAACAACGACTTTCTGCCTAGCAATTATTACCCTCCTAGCCTATGCTAGGAATATTAATAGCGCCCCAATCGTAGACGAACCCCCATCAGAATTCATCGACCCCGTACTGCATGTTAAAGAAACTCCTGATGGTTACATCACCTATAAGGATCGACAAATTGATTCTGAAGAAGAGGACAAAAAGCGATGCATCCCACGTGAGTGACTTTGCAATTTTTGAAGAAGGTGTCCAGGAAAATGTTGGTACGGGTTTATTGTGGAAAACTATCCGGGAGGCGTTACGCAGGCCAATACTGAAACTACAGCTCATATGGTTCATCTCTGACAGAGATATTCAAATTCAAACTCTGGACCAGATCGTATTCTACCGTAACCGAGGACGCTGATTGGTTCGCTTGGGGAGGTGAAGGGCACATTGCAAACATTTAGCTTGACTAAGGCCTCACAATCGGTTTCCAAAGCCCTAGATTTGCCTGCACACCGCCTTTGCGACCTTTATTGATTGATACCCAATCTAATCAATATATCGATTTAGGAGACTCCCCAGAAGGCCGCGCACGTTTACATCTAATCAATAAACAACTCACCGAAACAGAAGCTGGTAACTTGGATTCAAGCGTTCCGAGCAGTCCACCCGAGGAACCGCAACCACAACCACCGACGTTGGATGGAACGGCAGTGCCCGAGGATCCTATTGGGGATGCTGAGAATCTTCCTCAAGCACCGTCTCGACCCCCGTTTAATGACACTACCCCATTTGATGGGGTGGATGTGATGGAGACTATGGAACTCCGTATTTATAAGCCACTCTGTGATTATTGATCGTTATTGATTGCTCGATCTACTTAATAATATGCATTTACGTTGCGAATATCATGTATTTATGTGATTAGTGCCTAGCACAATCTGACTGACGGTTAAAGATACTTTGAGAAAGAGGTTCTCATACAAAATAATTTAGTTATGAATGCCATAAATTTTCGCTTTTATTTTCACTGTTTTCTGTTTTTGGACCATCATAAAAAATGTCAAACTTCCAATAAACAAGTCTGAGAATGTTGCAATGCCCATTCCATATCTAGTTAGCAGCGGAAGTCTTTAGAGTTGTGATTGGTCAATCGCATATAGGGGGCGGAGCCAACTCCTGTGATTGGTCAGCTAACTTTTTTTGGCAAAAAGCAAGTATTCAGTAAGAATGATACTTGCAGAATTAAACTCGTTAACACAATATTTTGCATTTTTATCGTACTGTTTTGACAGCGATATTGCTCTAAACTATACAATGCAGTACTTCTCGTGGAACACATGAACAAATTTGGAGAGAAAGAATTGGGGCAACATAAAATTCGATTCGTACGAGTTCTCAATCTACCAACAAAAGCACCATGTTCCAAGAGAATAACTTTGCAGGCTAAAGCTACATGTGTGCACTAGCAGCAGGGGCGAAACGAAAGAATAAATCGCTCCTACAAAAAACTGATCGAAGATGAGAGAAAAACATATATAAAATACAAAAAAAGAAATGCCTTGGGCGTTTACAATTATTTTCTAAAAAACATTAACTTGCACGTTGTTCTCACTTCCACGTATTTAGTTAATACTTACAAGAGGGGACCGTACAAAATGTGAAAGAGTAGGGGAAAAAACAGGCGCCTACAATTTTGCATAGAAAATAGTAAAAAAAATCATAACCGGGGCTACAAAGCTACACACAGGGGTATTGGCTAAACTCGGACAAAATACGCGTAATTGGACATGACTGTACTCAAAAATATAGGGTACAGAAAACGTTACAATAGTTACTGGGAGGAACTGGGACGAGATTGCATGCTTCCGAAAATAAACTGCTTGTTTGAGAAGTTAAAAATCGAAACAAATGTCCGTAGTAGCCGAATCCAAAATATGAAACGATTAAATTGTTACTAATAAGCGTAATTGTTTCTTTTGTACCTGTACAGGTCACCTACGTCAATGACAACGCCACACAAATGTGTGGGTCCTGAGGAGAAAACACCGGATAGTGGGGAGGGGAAGAGGGCGGGACGGGAGCTGAGATGGCAGAGAATAGTATGACTTGAATTGTTGCCTACTTGTAAGCTAGCTATTGTAGCGAGTTAAGCAGTCCTACAGCTGCTTGATGTAAATGATTAGATGTGGGGAAGTGAGACGATTGGGAGGGGGCAGATGAAGCGGGATTCGTGGGCTGATTCTGGCTTAGAGCCAATAACGATGACACCGCATTGTTTGTACATGAAGGAGTGGCGGTGTTGGGGGTGGGAGTTTGGCCCAATGCCAGGAGATTCAGCTGGTTCCCGGTTGGCAGTGTGGACGTTTGAAGATCGTGCAAAAGTCCGTTTGTGGTTTGTAACTGAAAAAAGGTTGATTAAGAAAAACAAAAAACGGAATTCTAAAAACACAGATTGCCTAAATCCTGCTGAAGAAAGTGTTTTCCGAAGCGAGAAAATTGCTTCAGAAGGTTTATGCTGCTGGGGTCGACACGCCCACCAATGTAGGTGGTCTAAGAGTAATGAGCTTGAAACTGTACTGCAGAATGCCTGAATATTCAAGATGTTTCTCAAAATGACAGATGGATTCCCGAAATACCATTGGGTCCGGTTTGGGGCTCGTTAGCTCTAGACCACCCACGTTGATGGGCGTGGGGACCCTAGCATGATCCACCCTTTCGAGCAATTTTCTCGCTTAAGGATACATCTTTTGCAGAGGGACTTGGGTTAATTAGTCAGAAATCTCCTATTGTACTGCATCAGGATTTCATCGGATTCAGGTCGACGCGTCGTCTCATAAAAGGGAAAAGAATGAAGTTGGGAAACTTCCTAGAGGACAAAGATGCGTCAATCGCGTCTAGACCATTCAAATGCACAGACTGGCAATGGCAGGTAAAATCCTCATCAAGCCAAAAATTAAAACAAATGACGAGGTGTATACTAGTCGTAAGAAACAAGTAAGAACAAAAAGAAAATTGCACAAATAATTAAATGCATAACTTACATCATTTCTCAACAGATCCTGCTGTTGTGGTTGACTATGTTGCTGTTGTGAACTGCTACTTGGGAGATGTTGCAGTTGGGCGTTAGGTTGGGGTGCTACGAGTGGAACAGCAGAGTTCAGCAGATTCGAATGTGTGGCCTCATGTCCAAGCTGTTGTGATCTTTGACGAAAAGCTCTCCCACAGAATTGGCATGAAAATGGCTTGGATCCTGTAAAATAAGGAAATAGTTCTGGATACCAATCTAAGTCCTCTACGGAGTCATTGCCCAATCTGCGGTTCATGTGAATTATTCCCGGCCGAGAAATCTAGCTCTAAACCCTCGCCCATAACGTAACCGAGGATCCAATCACGAAAAGAGTGCGGTACTGGGCGAGAGCTCGAAAATTCGAAGCTTTGCAACTAGTAACTATACAAAAAGTCCCGGTAAGCATGCTACCGTCAAAGCAAGTGTAATGACTGATTTTCAACTACCCTACCAGTATGAATCCTCTCATGCTGATCCACATGACTTTTTTGGGTAAATCGTTTCGCACAGAAATGGCAAGCATAGGGTCGATCATTCGAATGTATTCGTAGATGTTGTTGAAGCCCTCCTCGTGCCTTAACAAGCGATAAACGCTTATCTAAGCCATTCGAGCTCATGTGCGGCTACCCACTTATCCTGGAAAATCACCTTAAATCGCTTTCCACATTGTGAGCATTCATGGCCACGTGCCAAACGGCAATCTGCCATGTGAGTGTGCAACTAAATTTATAATACTTTAGAAAATACAGTAAAAAGTAGTGAAAATAGAATTACCAAAAAATACAAGATAATAAAAATAGTCAGTGAACTCACCGCATTCTGGTCAGCCCATTTTTTCGGACAAAATTGGCACTTGAGCATTCCATCATGACTGGAGCGTGATCTTCTTGATGTGGTTGGAGTGCTCGAGCCAGATGTATTACTCATCGCTCCACTCGTACCACTATTGTCCGAACATCGGCCACCATAGCTAGCACCTTAAAAGATACAAAAATTTGCTATTATCAGGTATTTGACTAAGACTTTGCACGCTGAAAACAAGGAACGAGATGAATTCATGAAAATAATAATTGTCAAAGTTTTCGCCAAAAAAACTCAATTATTGTAAAAATCTCAATATTTGTGCTCTCGCGCATTTTAGCAACTAATCTTTTCCCACAATTTTCACATGAAGACTCTTTCTAGTAAGGAAAAGATATGCAGAAATGCGTTTTTATGGGGATTCTGCAAGTGAAATCTTCCCGACGCATAAAATGGCGCAGCTTATTCGATATGCAATTTCGTCACAGCTAAAATTAGAAATGAGAATTTCTATGGAATGTGTTTTGCACATGCTAGGCAATCGCCATCCTTTTGCTATAAAAAGGTAAATTTTCTTGGACGACATTTTTTTCAGATTCACCTCAGGAAACATCAGGAAATCAGGAAGAACTGGCTGAAATCAGAGATATTTTTTTACTATTTGATTTTGAAAAATTCGTAATTGCTCCACATGTGAATATCCTTATTTACAAAAAATATTTCCAGATAGAATTCATCTAATTTCTAATAGCATCTTTCCTGCTCCTTTTACAGATGAATCCAGAGAAAAAAATCAGAAAAGAAAAGACACTCAAAGTCCCGCTTTCCGAAAATAAATCGTAAAAAATCTGACACGCTGCAGAAAAATCTGAGAGCATATTTCATATAGGTTTTGTGAGCTGCTCTTTCTAACAGTGCCAAGTTTTTGTTGATGAAGCTTTTCTAGGAAAAGTTATGATTTTGTGACAAATACAAAAAACGGCAAAAATGACGTTTTTTGCGTTTTTCTTGGCAAGAGTAACTCACAAAACTTCTAATAAACATGCACTCAGATTTTTCTGCAGTGTTTCAGATTTGGCGATTTATTTTCGAAAAACAAAGCTTTAGTGGCTTTCATTTTCTGATTTTTATCTACGAAGTCACCTGTTGTCAAAGCACCGCAAAGAAGCTTCTAGAAACTAGATGAATCTTTCTATCTGAGATATTTTTTGTAAGTAAACACGTTTACATAGGGAGCAGTTGCAAATTTTTCAAAAACAAAGCGATACTTTTCGGAGCAACCTATTTTATGTAACTATATTTTGAGATACCAGATTTATGCGGTGCTTTGCAAACCATGTATATACGTAAAACATATTTTGGGTATTGATTATTTCTTACTTTTTGTACAACAAAAAATACTGTATATTCCAGTGCAATAATACAATTTCATTAGGACATCGGTTTTGACATCTCTCTAAATCATAAAAACGAATCACTCGATTGCGTGGAAAGATCTGCACGCAAGAAGAAAAATTTCAAGCGCATCAGTTATTAAGAAAGGCTTTATTTACAGCGAGCCAGGTAAATTCCTTATCTTTAAAAATCAATAGTTTTCTAAGATAGCTAAGAAGGAGGTTAGCAACTTAAATCTGTGATGAAATTTGAAAGCGATTTTTCTTTTCTTCGGAAGGCTTCAAAACTAACGTGCAGGACACCAAAAACCAAAGTATTTGCTTGAAGAGACTATCTTGCCACCATAGATAATAGCACGAAAAATCGATGCCAGAGAAAAGAAAAAACACTAGCAGAGTGGAGAAATTTCCGAATGCCATTACCTATGGGAAGCGGCATCGGTTGCATGGGCATTCGATGAGCCGACGAGCCATTGGAATCCGTTGGAAACTCGCCATCTGACGGCTCTGGCTTCAACGCCTGATTCAGGATGGATGCTACGGCCGAATCGATCGTCGTTTCTTCAGAAATGGAAAAAAGGAAATTAGTATGACGTCAATGCTTCGACAGAACGACACTATTAGATTCGAGAACGCAATGGCGAGTTCGCCGAGAGAAAAAGGAGAGAAGAGAGAGTATATCGAAAAATTTCCAATGACGCAGCAAGCTATAGAAGAGGGTCTTATTAAGCAATGGATTTCGCTTCTTTCGCACACCTACCGCCGGCTTTCATAGGCTGCTGCTGCTGCTGCTGATGCATATTCTCCGTGGACGATGGAGAACAAGAGGATGATGAGGCATCACTCGATGATGGGATCTTTCCGTCACATCTATAAATTGTCGCGTCATCATCTACTACCGAGAAAAAAATTAGCTTCAAAAAAATTACAGAGGTCATCTTGAGTCAAGTTGAATCGAAGTAAGAGGCTAGTAATCAAAACGACTTTGGAGTCACCGTCCACCCAAATTTTAAAACTAATATGGTTTTGATGCTGCACAATAGCGAGGGCCCCAACTGATTGATTGCCCAAGTCCCGCTGCAAAAGATGTATTCCTAAGCGAAAAAATCGTTCCGATAGGTGAATGCTGCTAGGGTCGCCACGCCCACCAATGCATGTGGTCTGTAAGAAATGAGCCGGAAACTGGGCATCAGAATTTCTAAATGCCTAAACGTGTTTTCAATGAAAGACGATTTTCGATCTCCAGATACTACTGCTTTGAGGCACCGTTAATGGGCGTGGCAACCCAAGCAGCTTTGCCTTCTGGAGCGATTTTCTCGCTTAGGAATACATATTTTGCAGCGAAACTCGGGCATCTTAGTAAGTCAGGAACCTCGCTACTATACAGCACCAAAATCTTACAATCTCAGTTTGAGTTAACGATGCCTTTGAGATATGATAGCTGAGAATTATAATTTTTTTAAAATCCAAACTTGCCCTAGAAATCTATGAACACGAAATATGTGAGCCACCACTTCAAGGCAGTGTGCAGACAAATATGGGTACCCGGACCTTTCATGCAGAAACTGATTGCTGAGCCCATACCCGACGTATTACCCCAGTCTGCAGCTCATATGATTGATTCAAGGGCGAGAAAAGCAACTCTTAATTCTCGCGCAATACCGTAATCTCTTCACTGGCCAAACCTCGCGTACGGTACTGGGCAAGAGTAAGTTGTCTTTCTCAGCTGCGAATGAGTCATATGAGCTGACGGTTGAGCAATGGCTTAGTCAAAGACTCTCAATCATTCTCAGATATGAAACCCAAGCATTTAGATTTTTCTGGACATACATTCCCCTCCAGGAAGAAAAAAATAGCCCCACTCATGAAAAAAGTAGTGCTGACCTCGAAACGATCACATTTCGTAGCTGACATGGAAGTCCAGATGCATGTAGTAATGAACGATTTGCCGAACCCATGCTAAGCATGTCAACTTCCTAAAAATAGCGACTTTGATTGATTGATATAAATTTTCAATTCTGCCAAACAGCAGATAAAAATGGCCCCATTGTCTCAAAAAAATTTCCCACAAATTTCCGGGACTCTGGAAAAAAGTATTTACAAGAACGTGAAAGTCTCAAGAACATAAAAAACTTTATTAACGCAGGTTCAAACGTTACTAATTGAAAGATCAAAGCAAACAGCGGCAGTACTGTGAGTTACTGACATTCGTGCACGTTCTTCCGCCGAACCGATCGTATGAATCAGTCGATTGGAAACGAAGTCGTAGCAAAAGAAAAAGAAAATTACGCACTGCGATGAATAGTTGGGAGAGAATTCACATGCACTTATGAACGATGATGGAAAAATTCCGAAATATAAACAACCGTGAAGGAAATAACAAATTATGTGATGGAAATTCGATAAAGAGTCGAGAAAATTCACGGCTAAAATTTCTAGTAAATTTTGGAACTGCAAGAAAGAACACACATAATTTTTACGGTATCGATTGTCTAAATATATTGAAAATTTTGCAAAATAAAATCAATGACGATTTTTCTGACTCCAACGTCTTTCTGGTCCTAAAATAGTGACCAAAAATCTTCCAAAGGTGTTCTGACATCACTAACTTGGGAAGTATCTTTGAGTGATGAGAAAGGATGTCATGAAACAAATCAAAATCCTGAGCTGGAAACAAAAAATTCCAAAAAGTCGACCGTAACGTTCCAGCTCTGGACGAATAGCAGATAATGAGTGAGCCCTAAATCCATGAAAATGTGCTTACGCTTCAATAACTAAAACAATAAAACAATAAAATTTGATATGGGACACGTGACCGTACAACGACGTGCCAATCTCGATCGAACTCGTCCTCTCATTCAAATAATGAAACTATGAAAACTTCATTTAAAATCACTTCCTAAAATTCGTGAAAATTTTCCGCATCCAAACAGGAGATTGCCACCATGGCTGATGACGCAAGCCCCATTGCGAGCTAAAAAATTTTTTAAAACGCACTAAGCCAAAGACGGGTCCGGAGACTGTGACCGACACACTCTTCACAGCTTAGTGCGTAGATACAAAGTCAACACAAATCAGTCCGCGCACTTGCGTAATTTGCGCGCACGGAAACTTTGCTAATCCACGCAAAGATAGCTAAACACTGATCGGATCAGTCAACTCCTTCCGCAACTTTCAAAAAACGAGCATCTAGCTTAATCGACTGAAAATTTTTCGCTGACAGAAATTTCCAGGCGAAATGGATAGAGTTAATCAACTCTAAGAGAATTTTCTATGCAAAATTATGACGAGCGAATGTCACGAATAGAGAGAACCGAGGCATGCGTGGCAGTTTCGAAAACGATGAGGAATGCAGACATCAATGACGTGCAGCGTGCATTGTTGGATGTTTCTGACATACAGCTTCAATGTGGGGCATCTGATTAGAGTGTGCAGACAAGATGACAGGGGCGATGCACATTGACTGTATTGAATACTGTGAAGAATTCTATGCACTAAACAGCGTTCACGTGCTTCGAAAACAACGAGCACTTCTTTTAATTCGTATAGGTCTAATTAATTGAAATCTCGTTAGGAAAAGCAGATCATTGTTTTTTTTCTTGCACCGAAGTTGAGCTGCGATCAGAGTTGCCGGTGCCAACGCCGTTCCAGCGCTGTGCCGGATTTACAGGCAAGATCGATTAATCAATATGCAGTGCGTCTATGTGCGTTCCGAGGGCGCTAGTACGGAGAAGACAACACGGCCAACTATGAACGCAGCTCTGGGTGGACGTATCGCTTGCGAGTATACAAGCTGGAGAAGATGAGCGGTTAAGTTTATCTTTCGTAATGTCGCCACAGCGTTTGAGTAAATCACTAAAGTAAGTTCACTTGATGTGGGTAGGGGACTACATGTCGCCGAAAGTGGGAGATCCCACCGGACATCTGCAACAAATACACATTTCAATAGATGCACAGGCTGAGTATTTGCCGCATTGTCCGCGCGGGACCCTCCCACCTTCGGCGACATGTAGCCCTCTGCCCATTTGGTGTGTGAACCAAGTGTCTCGTTGATGATAGTGGTGTTGAATACATTTATCAACACGACGAACATAACATACACTCGGGAATCCTTTCATACGTGTAAAAGAGGCAGAATCTACCCAAGGACAGGGTCGCTGTAGACGAGCTACAAGCTTAGAAGGGGACGCCGCCGTAAAGGTCGATTCCCGCTGCTTCAGATCGCTCAAGACTGAGTGATTAGATACTTATACAAAAGTGGATAGAAATATAGGTCATAGATGCTCCATACTATTTAGCTCTAGGTTGATGAGATATTATAGAATCATCAAAAGTTCAAAAACTACACTCTGATTATCGAAATGTGCTGAAGAATATCGCTAGGTAGTGTTTCATATTTCCCAGAAGCCAAAACCTTTCAGATGGCATGCTATCATCATACATATTGAAATATCCGCAAATACAGAGCAGTTGATGTGAACATTCATTTTCTCAAATTCTTGCCATCGGACTCATGAATGGTTGTCGCGACAACCACGAGAATCACACATAAACAGTGTTACAAAGCACAGCATTGTACATTCATATAGAGCTAAAGCACTGCGCTTCGTTCATGCTTCATGCAGTCTGCCTTTCATTTTGAAGCCACCTAAACCAGTATTTTTACAAGCTATACCTCATCTATACACAGTCAGATTTGATGTCATGTGCTTGTTTCTGCGCTGTAAGCCCTTTGCTCATTTTGGTCTTGTTCTTGGACTTCAATAGCGCGCTACAAGGGGAACGCCGATCATGTAGTAAGTCATGTGCGAAACGCGTGTTCATGTGAGTGTTGGCTGAGTACTGCACAGCATGTTTTGCAACACCCCCTTTGCGTCCCCAGAAACAAAGCTTAGCGTGCTTCAACAACTTCTTAGGCTCTGAGCGGAATCCGTGAACGCAAAAGTCCTGTCAGGAATTCGCGAGATTTCGCTCCTTCAGCTGCATACAAATGTGCAGTTTTGCCATTTCGCAACGGTTTTCTAAAACGGGCATGCGGTGCTAGCTCGCTTGTTGTTGCGTGCCTGGCTGCTAATCCAAATATCCGGCTTGGAAAGCGTTTACTATATTGTACTGAGGCCGGTCTTGATCTCAAACCTCAGCACCTCCTTGACCTTCCAAGAGTCCAAAAGGAATATTTAGCCGACGTCACTTCGCCAGGTCATTCGATGTATAGCCATTGCGATCAATTCACATCTGGCATTATCTTTTGCTCTATTAATTCTTAAATTCAGATTATTCTGCTACTCCTATTGTTCTTTTTGCATCATGTTGTTATCATTGCCATATTTGTCACTGTAGTATAGTTAGATTCACGTTGCTAAAAAGAACCCCGCACTGGTGCGGTTGCTTATCTTTATTCACCTACTGTTATTCATTTATCGTCAAGGTGGTCTTGACCTCCGGCCTCAGCGTCTCCGTGATCTCCAATACGCGCCAAAAACGACTACTTTAGCTGCGCCGACACCACCTCGCGGAAACTCAATGGATTCGACTCAAGTATCTTCCTTTATTTTGTTCGCATATCTCTGATGACCATGTGCCGTTTATCCGGTTATTTTCGTTGTAATTCATCCAGTTATTGTTAGTAAACGTAGTGAAAACCATGATCTGGTGCTTTGAAGAGACTTATTTCATACAGGTCCAGTTTACTCACTTATACATACTCACTTGTTCGTTCGTAATTCGTTTGCTATGCTATTTGTTAAGAATAAAAGTTTAATTACCCGGGTTTAATTACCCAAGCTTGGTGTTGACGTGTGCCGGCGGTTCCTCCGCAAATACCTCGTGTGTATTCTGATATTCTCTGTTACTATACCACTACTTCAGCGACCCGCGTGGCATTCACCGTTCAGAGCAGATGAATTTTTGAAGCCCCAACTTGGACGAAGCAAGGACGGCTAGCTCAAAAGGTGGGAATCAAGCTGATTTTCCTATTTCGCTTTGTCGTTTCTTTGAATTTTGGGTCCTTTGCTATTGAGTCTGGGGACCCCCCTTTTTCCCTTCCCCGGGAGACACCTCAATTACCCAAGTTGAAGCAGTCCTGCGTGGGAAACAAACTAATCCTTCCCCTTTTCGCTTCCCTTTCTTTTGGATATTCCTTCGTTTTTGAGCTGGGGCCCCTTTTTCCCTTGACCATTCCCCGCGATCCAGCTCAGATATTTTCTAAACTATGAATGATCAGTCTCCACCGGCAACGAACCCACAGTGAAGTGGGCGCAGCTAGAGGATTAGTCTGATCTCTTAGTTGCGCAGGTTGGCGACTCGAAATTCGGCCTCTCAAAAACCGAAAAATGCTCGATTCACCATGTATCTGCAGAGTATTCAACCCAACGAGGATATGCATCGCCCGAGTTTTTCTACCAAACCAACTTTCGCAACTAAATTTCGATTTCAACGCCAGTGTGTGTTCTGACTGCCCTAATTTCAACACTGGTGTACTAGCCGTGATTCCAATAATGGACTACATGTCACAAGGGAACCAGAGGACATCTCCGGAGCAGATTACCCTGCTCCACTAGCGAACTGCTGACTGTGGATTCGGACCCAGAAGTGTTCGAATTCTTCGAGCAACACTCCAAGGCCGCTTCGTTCTCTCCAATCCGATATTGGCTACCTTCTTCACAGACAAGAAGAAAAAGGAGGGGTAGCCACAAACGTAAGGAGTGATTTCTACAAAAGTGACTTGTCATATATGGATGAGTTACTGCTGTATGAGTGTTATGGATCTATTCAGAAGCTAGCTTCCTCTAGCCCGGCCCTTTCGGTACGGGGCTTCGGCTCCCGCCCATCTTGTTTTCCAGACGCCCAACTGTAGTGAAGAAGACTTTCATGCCCGCTTGTCCTACCCATCAGCAAAGGCGCACAGAGGCTACAGCTGCAGCAAATATGGGCATAGCCAGCACGAGTGCAAAAAGGAACGTAAGGCATGACAATA